AATGATGTATTATATTTTACGATACTTATATGATCTATACACATTTTATTAATATGATGCACCATTTCAGAGATGCATGAAAAGTTAACCACCAATTCAGCCCAAGTTATTAAAACTATGTTCGTAAAATAAAACTAACTAGTTGGCAATAAATAATAACAATAACTAATAAGTAATAAGTAATAATAATAATAACGTTTTACTCGAATTTATTAATTCGCTAGCCTTCGAATAACCGGAAAAATGACCTAATAATATATTTTAATTTCACTTTCAATTACATTATTTTTTTGTATAATGTAAATAAGCATAAACATCAAAATATTTTAAAAATACATTTGGTTTTTCAATAATGTCTAGCACAATGTATTATAAATAAATATATTTTCCATTGTTAAGCAGACAAAAATGTTTAAAAATAGTTTTAACTCTTTTAAATAAACGTTTGGATATCGTTTTAGTTGAACCATTGTACCCAATTAATACAATATTACTGGTATTACGTTTGACTAGTATAGGTTTACACGATTCGTAAATGTATTTATCAAAATCACCGAAGTACTAAGTCTTACTATAACATGGAATGTGTTATGTAGGGGTATGACAAGGGAAATCACAGGAAGCAAGAAGATAGGAGGAGCCGATTGTTGTACATGAGTAATTTATAATATAGAATAACATTGTGGTTACTATCAAAACATTAAAAACCATTGTTTAAAATGTAAATTGAGTAGGCCTTTACAAATCTTTTGTATTATAACACCTAATATATAACAATACTATGTGGGTACTGGGTTGTATTATTATTGCACTATGAATATTAAACCCAGGGTTTATTTGTATAAAAAATAACAACAATATCAACAAAATATACGTAAATATTTTTATAAAAGTAGTTGATGTTGTTAATAGTTATTTAGTTATGACTGGTTTCGGAAAATTATTTTGCAGATAATTTAATCTATTGACACAATTATCAGTTTACTTCCTGTAGTTAGCAAAATAGAAAATAAATGAATATTATTCCGGACTTATGACACAGAACATACTGATAATAGGTAATTTTATTAGGATATGATTGGTATTAAAATCTATGAGATAATAAATACTTTTGAATAACCTAATAATACATAATGCACAAACTAAAAATAAATAAATAAAATAATAAAGTACCTAGTTTATACCATAGTTTTGAAGTTATAATACTCAAAATAAATAATAACATAACTAGTAGTATTGAATGTTGATCAACAAATATTGTACAAATACATGTTTGATATAAATTTTAAATTAGAAGGTTTATACTAAATTATAATGTACAAGTACATTATAAATAACTTTATACATATAGTACTACAGTGATTGAACTGAAAAAATAGGTGAGTTTTTGGTATGGCATAAGACTAGCTATCCATAAAACTGAACTATTATGCATTATATAATTGCTTTACTTATCATATTTTTTTTTTTAATATGATATTCATAAATAAAATAAAACATTTAAAATATCATAAAATAAATATTACAGTTGATTACTTAAAATGGTATTTTTAATACAATTTAATTATTAACAACTTTTTAATAATAATATATATATAACTATACGAAAAAGAATATTAGTTTCAGCACAGACATACTAATTTACTTAAGTTAAAAATAATGTGTCTATAGTTTTTAAACTGTAAGACTGGTCAAATGACAAAAATGCAAATTACATAAAATCACAGCTCACCAGATGGTTACATACTGTCTGTTGCCAACATAGAAGGGGTCTTAAAGTGTTTTTTTTAGAATATTTTTTTACACAAATCCTAAAGAATAACCATGCATACAAGCTATCACAAATATATTACTTATTTTCCATGTAAAATACAACCATAAGTTAAAAATGAATTCAGGACAAACATATTATTACATATTATTAAAGTTTACAGATTAAATTAAATTTTAAACCTATTATATTATATACATACCAAACAGAAGTGGAAAATTGAATATGCATTATACTAAGATAGCTTTATGTTGTTGATCAATTTATAAGTAAATTGAAATATATTTTTTTTAAATCCTTTTTAGTATATTAATAGAACCTAATTATAATAATTAAGCAACAAAAAAACAAATTATGACTTACAGATTTTGGCATCTTGAATTGTATTTGGATGTGTTATGTGTACGCGTTCAGCATAAAAACCTGTAATAGTTCAAATATTTTAGATAAGTATTAAAGTATATTAATTAGAAGTAAAAATGGCAATAGTTGAATGGTGTAATGTGATATCAATGGAGTCAAAACAAATATTGAAATTAACTGACAAAAAAATATTTCCAGAAACTAATGTTTCATATTGTACTATTGTAGGTATTCTTAAACAATTTGTCTAGATTGCAGTCTTAAATTTCCAACAAAAATATGGATTACATAAAATACCAATTTACTAATGGTTTAAAATCGATAAAATATTTGCTACATTAAACAAAAACACTGTACCTAAAAAGTGGAAATTTAATGTATCGGATTTTAAAAACGTACAAAGCATGTACAGGTACACATAAATATAATATTTCCATTAGTTTGATTGAATAACAGATGATATTATGGTGCTAAGCTTTTAATATTGATTAATTAATTATCAAACGTAAATTCCATAGTACATTCAAAAATGCAACATGTAGGTACTGACAGTTACATAATCAAGTACCTTACCTATAATCTATAATATATATTCTATACAATATTATAATATTAGTCCTATCTAGATATAAATATATTATATTATTATTATATTGTACACACTTCAGTCTGATAATATAGTGTTCTTAGATTATAACCTCTAATATTAATCACTTATCATCGTCGGGTATTAAACCGGAGATTTGGCGTATCGGTGGCGATCGGGATGACGGGGACGGGCGGTTTTCGCCGAATCAACGAGCATTCTCCGAATCGGGAAGTTAGAATTGTCGTCAACGTGACGATAGGTCAGGGCGGGAAAGTGCCGGAAGTGGATAAAATGTTCAATAAAAATTAAAAACGGTAAGCTCCATATCCGTTGCACATGCAAAATCTCGACTCACCCCGGTGGACGTCGTTGTCGTCGTCTGACGATGATCCCAAAGCAATTCAAACGCCTCAGTCGCCTCTTCCTCCGGTGTCCCGTACGGTGCGCCGCGCAACGATGTGTGTGCCGTGTGCGTCTTGGCGCGGTATGATCCGTTCGAGTTTTATTTTTAATTTTTTTTTTTCACTTTTTTACGTTGAAATATTTTCAAAAATACATCACGTACGGAAATGGAAAAACGTAATCACGTCACGTTGACTGATGGTGTTGCGCGAATCAGCAAATGAACCCGGTCCGGATAATCACTACGGCTGGTGGCTGCACTGTCGTACAGCCGACGTCAGTGCGACCGCGGCGAGGGAATTAAACGAAACCCCACTCTACACCACAGACGGGCAAACTCCAATTTCTCCCGTTTCTTGTACTTTGTATAGTACATTATAATGTTTATAGTATGAATATCGGAATTCGGACTATACCATTCAAGTATTCCAGTATTCTACTATTCTCGTTCTGTTTGCAGAATCGGGCGTTATAGGATTTTTAATTTTTTCACAATGACATAATATGTTGCATATTCATTTCGCCGCACTCAATCATTAATATTAAATATTTTATTGTTACAGGAGAAACGCAAAAACCACGAATCTGTGATTTGACTAGACAGTGACGAATTCGTTAACGTCTGAAAAATATAATATTAATATTTAATATCCATACCATTTTGTTTAGTGGGTATGAAAGGGGGTGAGGGGATGGAGTTTGATATTGCGGTAGAGATGGATTATTAAGCCCCAATGAATTATTTTGGCGTGTGTCAGTGCCCAAATACCTAAAAAGCTAAACATAGGTATTGTGCTTATTTTGACAACGCAATGTAAAACAGTAACTAGCAACTTATATTGTATTGTAATATATTTGTATAGTTTATTTTATGAAAAGAAATATGATAATTTAAGCTAAGTAGTTATGCACGAGCGATTTTAAATGTTTATTTTATAATATCGTTATCATTTTTAGCACCAATAATTATTTAAACCGCAATAAAACACGGACATTATATAATATGTACAGCAGTTTAATTATCGACGTTAACTATTTCTGATGAATATATTTGGTTGATAAGTCCATGTGACCATGCGATAGGAGAGCTTTTTCAACAATTTAAAATTAGTAATTACTAATTTGCGGGTGAGGCATTAGATGTTAGAACTTAGAGTTGGTTCTGAGGACAGTGAATAGTTGTACGGGACCACGTATACGAACGTTGTACACTTGTACGACTTCTCGAAAAATGTCATAAAGGATTCTTTCGTAAACCCCTTCCCCCACCATCCATTTGCCAGAATGGCGGTCAGCGAACACTTAAAAATGTCCAATGTGCAGGTCATGTATATCATATATTATGTATGGATAAGAAACTTAATTCATCGTATTAGTTCTAGTAATATTACGACACCAGTACACCACTATACAGAGCAATAACAGAGTAATGAGTACATTTATACAGAGCGTTCAATAAATTTGGAAACGACCATTAGTTAGACTAATTTAAACAAACTTTATTTATACATTATGATTATACTAATTAGAACTGATAAATTATAATATGATTGCACTGCTGCACATTAATTAGGTAAAATAATTAGTCACCTCATTAATAATATAATATCGTTTAGTAGTCCTATAATATTAGTCTATTGACCCTTTTCATACTTTTTGAACACTGTATATTTTGTAGACACTAAATAATAAAATAATTATGCCAGTATTCGGAAAAAAAGCCCCGGAAAAATTACCATTAATTATTTACTCATTCTTTATTAGATATTTTTTAATATCATATTACACTAAATTAATTTTTTTCTTTATAATTAATTAATAAACTACCTTAATATAGTAATTACTAATTAGTACAATAAATTATGTTCAATCATTATACCTACGAACCTAACTTATAGGTAAATACTAAATATATTTAATACATTATTGTCTATTTTCCTATTTCATATTTTTATTTATAGGATTTCATTTCGTGGTTTTCAAAAGTTTTAGCAATATCGCATACTATTAAACAAATTTTTTTTTTTCGGATTAAGGCTTCGACTTCTGAGGTCATTAGCTTGGTACTATGAAGAGGGGCGTTGATTGAAACACGTTTGATGAGTGGCAAGGATGTGTTGCTAAAAACTCAGGTGGTCACCCATCCGAGTTCTAACAACGACGGCCGGTACGTCGTACTCTTGAACGTTGCCGCAGACGAGCGTGCAACCGGTCCTCACCAAGCTACCATCAATATTTTATATGATAAACGAAAAACAATGTTTGGTCGACTTAGGTAGGTACCTATTATTAAATAATATGATATAAAAGTACAAAAATGAATAATTGTATTGAACTATTTAACTTATTTTAATCACAATAGTAATAATATTATAATTCATAGCATAATCATTGAATTGTTTAGTGACTTTTAGTAAGGGGATTTTTTTCCTATTACAAGGGTTTTAAATGGGAAACTAAGTCTTGTTTGAGGGACCATTAGCTCATTGTAATTGATACATTCAATCATTTAAATGTTTAGTGATTGTTCATACAATAATGCAAATATGCAATCCAGCATGAGTTTTTCAATAACTATAATTTTCCTATACTATAAATTAAGTAAAAATTATTATCTAGTTATAAATGTAGATATATTTTATTTTGTATACGTAGTTTGGTGATAGTTAAAAGTTTGTATTTAAGTTTTTGAGTAGAACGATGCATATAATATATTGATTTTACCATGATATGTGTTTTTTTATTTTTATTTTTTGAGATTGTGTGCAATGTACATTATGCATGATAAATAGTTATACATTCTTTGATTTACTACTTTAAGGGTCGTTCTTGGTAGAAAATTGAAATCTAGTTGGATCTATTACATGGGAAACATTGAATATTTCCAGTAGTTTACATAAACGTCAGGAAAACAAAAAAAAAGAATTTTTACGCGACCCCGGTTTTTAATAAAATAAATTTATTAAATTAAATTTTTATATGTAAGGAATGAAATTTTAAACATGGTGGTAGGTAGGACATTTTTTTTTCCTAGTTATTTTGAAAAGTACTGAATAATACTATAACCTTGGGGGTCAATATAGTTCTAGCTAGGGTATTATAGAATACAGAATTATATTATATTAATATATAATACTTAAAATTGTACCTATACCTAGGGGCTAGGAGCTAAGATACTCTAAAAGTATTGGTAGCTGGTTCATTATACTTACCTATATCAAGTAAATCATTATTTTGAATTACATACAGTCAAATCATAAATTTACCTGAAAAATTAAAATTTGCTGTATAACACTATAAGTCTATATTAGGCAGTACGCTACTATACATATAATAATATAAATCAAAATAAAGATATTTTAAATAAATTATACATTAACAAATTTAACACTACGACTTGTGTTATAAGTTCTTTGTTTTAGTAAAAAAAAATTAAGAATAAAAATGTATGTCTGGTGTAATGGTGCATTGGTGCCTACCCGGATATCAAAGATAATACGTGATAATTTAAGAATCTGTGTTGTTGATGGCCGGTGAAGTCAATATAATGTATAGATACTAGGCAGGTTGTCAAGAACATGATGACAGAGTGTTAAGTACGAACAGTAGTTGGAGCCTATATAATACTGCATGGGCGCCGTGTACAGGGGGGCTCGGGGGCTACAGCCCCCCATGAGCTTTGTATAGCGGAGCTCAGCCCCCTACGGCCTCACGGTTCTTATATTATAAAATAAGTCACAAGTCATAATAAATCATTTTCTGCCCTTCGCAGACTTAAGACATACATCAGGAGTACAATGAGTCAAACACGGTTGAATGATATTGCCATTCTTCATTTGCACCGTGATGAAGAAATAAATGTAGAAACTGTCGCAAACCAATTCATCGACATTTCCAAAGTGCGGAAAAATACATTTTCTTTATAAAATGTGTAACTTTCAAAATAAATTGGCATTTTTTAATTTTTGTCTTATGATTTTTTATGATAATACTATTATAATTTTATAACATACAAAACAACAATTAACTAAATTTTAATAGTTGATTGTTTAGCGAAAAATTTAAATAAAACGAAAATATTTATGTAAAACTTCAGTAAAAGTGTTCATAAAATAGTGAACACCCATGATATTTTTAAAACCTGGCGCCTATATATAATAGTATATTAGTATACATTTTTCAAAGCTGGATATTTCGAAGGAAGCGATAAATCCCAGTACAGCAACAGTCAATTATTACCTATACTGTTTGTACTTATTGATAAAATATATTAGGTTAGGAAGTTAGGAGCACAGCCACACATGTACTCGACTAGTACTCTGTATAGTTTTACTTTATAAGCAACAATATGCACTGTTCCATTAAACTGCAATTTTGTATTATATCTATTTTAAATTTTAAATCTAGTTAATTAGATGAATAATATATAATAATTAATTATCATTATATATAGAATCTAAGATTAGATAAGAATAATGTATTGCATTTTAAGCTTATCATAATTTGAACTATTTATAATATCATAATATTTTTTCACAAACGTTTTACGCTTAAACAACATAAGAAAAACTCAACAGTTGAAGTATAAATTCCGGCCTCCGGGGATTAGTAAAGTTAAACACTGTAATGTTAATTTAATTAAATTAAATAGTTATATTATGTCGCCATATACGACTATACTTCTATAGTTCTAAAGACAATTATAATAAAGTTGTGCTAGTATTGACAAATAAACTCTTCATTGATATTTATTGATGAATTATATTATGTATTGTGCCAAAATGGATGTGTAGGCACTAATGTTGAAAGGAGATTGATTCGTACTAAAACATTTGTAGTTTATTTGCATTGTTTGAATTGGAATATGCAAAACGCTTTCTTTTTTTACTATAATTACTGGGTAAAATTATCTGAAAACAGAAATTATAATTAAAACACTTAAATATCTAATTAAACTTTAAAGCAACTAACTGGAGTAAATATTAAAATAGAGTATTCTATTTAATGTATTCAAAAAAGTTAGTGTTAAATATAAAAGGACGTCTTTGGAAACTAACCGGCTGCAACGTAAAGTTCATTATTTTTGCTTCATTATGGTATTTGTTTTCGACAGTAACCAATTTAGTCGAAGATAAATATCCATCCATGGAAGCCGTGACGTGATAATCACCATCTGTGAGCAGTCTATAATAGTCTCCGTCTTGAACTAGAATTTTCCAAAAACATCGAATCAAATTTGTTACATATCACAAAAATGTCATTGCATATTTGCATTATATAACTATTAGACTATCAAATATACACTTTATTATTTTAAATTTTAAATTTACCAGAAGTTACATCGTGTAAGATTGGTGACAGTTGACCGTTAGTAACATTTACCACTTTGATAAATGCATTTACTAATGGTTTTAACGTAACCGCGTCTTTAATTATTCCTTTAATTCCTATGTGTGACTGAAATATTTTAAACAATACAAATTTCAAATATTATAATATTAAAGTAAAAAAAATCTAAGAAAATATTATAATATACTCGTATATATATACTAGCTATTATTAAGAATTTATTTGAAAATACTGTACGTAGTTACTTTACGGAAATTCATAAATTAAATTTGAAATAATATATATAGGTGCATTTTTACGCAGTGCATCACCAAGCATACTCACTGCCATTTTCCCCTTTGTTCATAAATTTATTCAAATTTTAATTTTTGAAATTTTTTATATACATATAAAAGCGATATTTTCAAATACTCAGATTTTGTACCGTTTAAAAAGTGTACTGTGGCGGCATCAACTTCTTTTTAACCATAAATTGTTCATTAGACACATTTGTATGTGAATGATGTAGGTACCTAAATTAAAATTCTAATGGTATATCATTGCCAACCAAGGATAATAATTAAAAGGTACATAATAAAAGTCCATGATTAGTGATAAGGATAACCTATATTTTGTTTAACAGATACCTATGAAGGCTATGATTACTTGGAAATTATAGTAATTAATTTTAATCTATCATCATTTTATAACTTATAAAAATTGTCGGAGTATAATAATTACTAAACAGTAAATTAAAAATTGGATAGTATAATTTGGTAACGGTGTTGTAAGCGATCTACTTGTAACTCACCGGTGTAGTAAGCAATCTACCATACTTTTCCGCTATCTACGCGCATTGGTGTCGTAACTCGTAAGTGATCTACAAAAACTACTTATATAAATAGTAAATTCAAATTTGTTGCTAATTGATCGCAGAGGAACTCAAGAACTTAGTATCCTATACGGTTTGCTATGTGGTAAAATAGCTTCCCAATACCTACCTTTTATCTCTATTAAATTTTAAAGTTCTTCAGAGACACACCAGATCACACGCTCTATTCTTAATTTCAACTTACACCACGCCACCACCAGATATTTATCTAATTAACCATCAAGGGCATCATAGCTCATGTTAAATGCCAATGAGGCCACGCGAACCTTAATTTTCTACTTCAGTATAGTATTGTTATTTCATCACTTTGTACTATTTTATGTTGGAAATAATTAAATTGTAAATACGTATATTGTAATTTTTAACAAAAATGTAAAAGGGTATTTCACTATCACCAGTATAATACAATAAATAAACAACGAGTTGTATGCGTACGCACCACCAATAATCAACGGATATAACTGGTAGAATGAAATTATAATAATTGTGTGGTTTATCCCATAAATTGTGTATCATGTATTCATGTTTATCAACAAGGATTTTTGATTAGGTTGGTAGTTCACAAAAATTATGGTAGATCACTTACGACACCCCGTTACGGCGTTACCTATACATATTTTATAGCTTAAAACTGTTTAGGCTTGTATTACCGTGGAATACAGGACTTTAGATGGTGTAAAATCGAAGTATTTAAAAATATGGTCCTTAAGTACACTTAAAAATTAAAATCACTTACAAATAAGAATTCAGATAAATTCTTTATTAAGTAAAGGAAAAAATGGGGAGGAGGGGCGGTTGAGTATGCTTTGTGTATCATTTAGTGTAGTACATGGATGAATGTAGAAAAATATTTGATTGAGTATGGAGACAGAACCCTTTGTCCCTTTACCTCCTGAATTTTTCCCTTATATCTGGATAAACGAATATCATATAATATATTCAGTTATTAATTAATTGACATATACCTGCCAAATCAAGTTGATAAGTGCGTTTTTGTTTCTATTCCATTCTTTTTCTAGTTCACTTTCTTTTGTATATTTGTCACAACCCAGCTCTAAGGTAATTTCAAAATCATTGGAAGATAAGTAGTTAAAGTCTTGCATTCCTGAAATACAATTTTAAATATTAAGTTTATGATTTGGGTGTTCCAAGTTATCATAAATTCATTACAATAACAACTCGTTTACGCGTTTGCCTACAGAGTATAAAACTTCATACATTTTCGTTATTAAAGTGAATATGGAAACCTTCAGCTCCATTCGTTATTGTTAGTTGTTTATAACTTGGTTTCACAGGGATAGGACGATAGGTTAAAGCCGTTGAATTAGTAAAATGTATTTTTATGATACAAAAACATAATTATTAATTTACGAAGTATAATCCATATCGAGCGGGGCTCAGGGCAATAGTAATAGGCACTAATAGCTATTCAATTTGCAAAATATATTATAAAATATATTATCTACCTATATATCAATTCTTCTAGTGGCACATATCTATATATCTATATACGGCAAACCGAAAAAACTATTTAAGCCATCTACCAATATTGGTATTATTATTTGTATACTCCCTTAATAATGAACTACTACTTTGTATTCAATGAAATCAAGATTGGACTAAATGCAATATGTACAAAATAATTGGTTCAAAATATTATAGGTACTGGTTATTTGTACAACTATACGTCAATATCTACTCAATATACCTATATGAAAATAGACATGTTTATTTACCATTTATGTATATTATACACCTGATGTAACAAATATTTCTGAAAAAATAATTTACTCTTGAATTTTTAAAAATAAAATAATTATTTTATACATAAATTTTAACGATACAAGAAAATATAAGTGCAAGTTATGAAAATTATTTGTCATAATAATTGTATTTATTAACCTATTAATTGTAATGTATATATGTATTGTATTAAGCTTAAGTACGGCAAGTAAGTAATTAAAGTACGTATCATATAAATGTCAATAATTTTTAATAACCAACACATAATGTTACTTTATTGTTTATTTAAATTTAGTATTGGAAGTTTTAAGGGTTAATATGTTTAAGTACTTAGTCTAAATATTGTATTATCTAATATTATAAAATCAATTGTATAAGATATATTTATCCTAATCCATATGTAGGTAATATATGAAAATATAATTATTTATATATTTATAATACCTAAATATTATATAGAGTTATTTTTAAAGTACCTAATCAGTTTTTGCGAATTTTTTTTTTTTACTTAATTTGAATTTATCATAATAGAACATTTTTGAATAACTAGCTTATTAGTTATAACCAAGGATCGGAAGGGTTTCGGAACTAATTCTGGTTCGATATAATTTCAATCCATACTAGATATGTTTCAAATACAAAAACATTAAAAATATTTAATCATTCAGTGTATAATAGTATGATTATAATATAAAGTAATAAGTAATAACTAATAATTAATTGTTATAACTATAGACAGTACTTCGTAGTTATAATACCCACACATTTGTTGTATCCACCTTACATACATACGACATTGCAAATTTTCGTTCACTGATTAAAAATTAAAAATAAATTCACTATACTAATATAATATAGTAAAAAATGTGTCCAACATTGAATTTCAACCCATACAATATCTTTATTTATCATTATCAACATTGTCATTATTGTCGTTGTAGATTAGATTAATACTTCCCTAAAATATCATGTAGTAGGCACTTATCTAAAATACTTACATACCATACGATTGT